TGGGGAGCGGGGCGGGGGAGGAGCGCCCGACGGCCGGCGGCGGCGGGGGGTGGGAAATCCTAGCGGGAGTCGCGGGAAGTCGCGGGAGTCGACACAGAGCTTTTCAAGTACTAGTATGTATATATAGGGGGGCCAAGCACCGGGTGCTGCATGGTTGCAATTGGCCTAGGTAATCAGTAATCACTCATCACACATTCACACGTGATGGAGCTCCCATGGCTTCTCCTTCCCACAGCTATTCTCCTTCCTGTCGTTTTATTCCTCCTCTCAATTGCATGGAACCGCCGCTTACCGCCGGGGCCGGCCAGCCTGCCTTGGCTTGGAAACTTGCTATATTTACAGCACTTTGACGAAGACTCCATGGACATCCTGAACGCTGAGAGGCGCCTCCATGCGCGCTACGGCCCGGTTCTCGGCCTCCAAGTGGGCAACCGCCTGCAGGTTAGCGTGGCAGACCGCTACCTCGCCCACACTGCGCTGGTCGGCCATGGCACCGCCCTGGCTGATCGGCCGGACTACGCCGTGCGCAACTTCGGTGGCCTGAACGCCATCACCATCACGTCCGCCAACTACGGCCCAATCTGGCGCCTCTTCCGTAGAAACTTGGTGGCTGAGATCGCGCACCCGGCCAGGCTCCGGCTGTTCGCGCCGCTGCGGGCGTCCGTGCTTGCTGACATGACGGACAAGCTATGGCGCCAGCAGCAGGAAGCAGGAAACACGGGCGTCGCCGTCAGGGACACCTTTCTGCTCGCCATGTTCCACCTCTTGGTGGCCATGTGCTTCGGCGAGCGGGTTGACGATGGCGTTGTGCGCGAGATTATCTCTGCGCTGCGTGAGCTCATGATCTACTCCTTGACCAAGCTGAGGGTCTTGGACTACCTCCCGGCGGTCACGACGCGCCTCTTCCGCGGCCGACTGGATGCCATGCACGCTATGCGCAGCAAGCTCAAGGAGATGTACTTGCCCTTGATCGATGCCCGGAGGGAGCGCAAGAAGCTGCTTTCCAGCAGCCAACCGCCGTCTCCTCAGAATCAGGATGAGACGAGGACGTTGCCGCACTGCTACGTGGACTCGTTGCTCGACCTCAGGCTCGACTCCGAGAGCGGCCGCCCTCTCACTGACGACGAGGTACTTGCCATGTGCTCCGAGCTGCTGATACAAGGGACAGACACCACAGCCACGGCGCTAGAGTGGATCATGGCCGAGCTGGTGAAGAATCAGCACGTCCAGGACAAGCTCTTCGATGAGATCTCAATTGGTACAGATCCCGACGATCTACACCGGCCAGAGGGCCTGCACAAGATACAGTACCTCCGGGCGGTGGTGCTTGAGGGCCTCCGGCGCCACCCACCCGGGCACCAGGTGGTGATGCACGCTGCGGCTGAGGACATGGAGATCGGTGGGTGCGTGATCCCCAGGGGCACGCCAGTGAACTTCATGGTGGCCGACATGGCCCTGGATGAGAAGACTTGGGACCGGCCACGAGAGTTCCTACCGGAGCGGTTCCTCGCGGGAGGTGACGGCGATGGGGTTGACATCACCGGCACCAAGGAGATCAAGATGATGCCATTCGGAGCCGGGCGGAGGATCTGTCCGGGGCTAGGCGTCGCCACCATGCACCTCGAGTACTTAGTGGAGAACCTAGTGCGTGCGTTTTACTGGCGGGCGGTTGAAGGGGAAGAGGTGGACGTCGTCTCTGAGGAGGCCCAGTTCACCGTCGTCATGAAGAAACCGCTCTGTGTTCGCCTCGTGCAGAGAGCTGCCATTTAACTTCAACTGAGAACAACATTGATTAAGGCTGCAGTATGGAAAGTGTTTACTACTAGTTTGGACGTCCGCAATTACGCATGTACTAGCACCGTGTACCTTCTTTTTCCGAAATGTTAACGCCCACACGTGTGGGCGTTCACCACTCCGTCCACACGCAAGCATCACCGTTGGTTTCGTTTTGCACGAATCATGGAGCAAAAGGGCTGGTTTTCGGCGCCACGTTGGACGATTCTAGTGTGCGGTGTGCGAGTGGGTTCGCCCGCACGGTAGTTGCCATCCCGCGGTCAGCGGTTGCCACTGAGAGGCGTGCGGTGGAACTGCCATGCGCCCGCACGCCACGGTCCGACCGCAGTTGACGTCAAACACGTCGCACACCCCTCCACCCTCTCCCTCACGGTTCCATTCACTCTCCCCCGCGTCGCATTTACTGGCACAACCCACTCGCATTACAGTCCACCGGAGGAGAAGGCGAGGGGAGAAGGCGACGGCGGAGGCGGGACAGTCGACGGTGTTCGCGGGCGTTGGTGGTGCTCGTCGGAGTGGAGCGGCGTCGCCGGAACGCGTGCGGGTCGAAGGTAATGCTCGCTTCATCTATCGCATACCCTCCCTGATTTTGTTCCCCTCTTTCCTCCCTGTTCGATTTCTAGATCCATTCCTAGAAATTCCGGCGATTCGGCGGTGCACCGGCGTTCCCGCCGCTGCGGCGGTGCGCCATAGTTGTGTGCCTGCCGTTGCTTCGTGGGAGTGGGCAGTTTCGTCGCCGCCGCTGCGGCGGCATCGTCGGTGAGGCTATGCCTGCTCGTAGGCAACGCATTAGTCTTGCATTTGGATTTTGAGAGTTGTCCGCCGGGTTGTTTTGGTGCGGATTGGTTCGAAATTTGGGGTTGCAGCCATTTCGCGCGAGAATTATAAGGGTGATTTTGAGGTTGAAACAGTTGCCATTGAAACCTAGACCTAGTCTAGTTTTGGGGTTGAAACTGCAGACTGTGGCGAAATTGGCAGTATGATTGAACGTGAACGAATGTGCGACAACTAAACTACCTGAAGAAACGTGGTAGTTGCCACAAACATGTTCTCCCATGTGGCAACAGATTTCCGAAAATGACTGTCATAGTTGCCACCCCAAAACGAGGTGGAAACTAATTTCATTTGAACTCCTGTGGCAGTTGCCACACGCATGCTCTTCCCATGTGGCAAATTTTAATTCTGCTGAACTTGTACGATAAGTAACCAGAAAAAATATGCTTTCTGAATGTGGCAACTATGGCAGTATGACCGAACGTGAACAGGTGTGTGGCAACTAAACTACATGAACAAATGTGGCAGTTGCCACAAATGTGTTCTCTTCTGCGGCAACATATTTTTTCTGAAACTGACTGTCATAGTTGCCACAAATGTGTTCAAGCTCACACACAAGGGGGGCAACTAAATTTTACTGAATGAATGAGATAGTTGCCACATACACGCTCTTGAACGAGGCAAACTGATTTTTTACTGAATTTACATAATAGTAACCTCAAACATTCTTTTCCATTTGTGAGACTTGTTTTTTTTTTTCTGAATTATTTGCGACAGTTTCCAAACTTTGGTAGTTGCCACAATCGGTAGCACTGGACGGAACTAATGTGCACATCGAGTTGGCGTGTTTGCCACTTTGGATTTTGTATAATCATGTTGCAATACAGTATGTGAACACAATGTCTGTTGCCACAATACAGATATGACAGTGTGGCAAACTGGCTGCATAGTATGGCAACCACATTTGCATTCAAATAGTTAATATTTTTCTGTTAGGTGGCAACTGCTTACCCATTGCATTTTACATTTTCGCCATTAACAATTTGGTCTGTTCCTACATCAGCAGAATGGCTCGTGGCGATCATCAAAGTGATGATGACGATTTCATGGATCCACCTCAACGTAACCAGGCAACTGGACGGAGAAAAGAGGGCGACGAGGTAACTGTCCGCACACCCGCCCCCCTCCTCCTGATTTATGTTATTTGTTGGCAGCTAGATCTTTTTTATAGTCGTCCATCATGAACTAAATTTTCATAACATTGCAAAAACATGGCAACAGCTCAACACTTTTGTGTTTGTTTTTTGCAGAAGAAGAAACGTATTCGCAACAGAGCCTCCCAGGAACGTCTGACCGTGTTGATTGACAAATTCACTGACGATCAAAAGGGAGCTGCTGCTGAGATGGGTATGCAGGTTCTGATGGATGTCCGGTGTACGAACCTTGTCAACCCGGTATGCGACTGGCTTGGTGAGATATACGATCCCGCCTCCAGGGAATTCGTGATCCCGGGACGGGGAAGACTTCCATTGAATGAGGAATCCGTGTTCTGCACTTTGGGTGTGCCTCGGGGACATATCAAAGTCCCGTACGAGGTTAATAATGAGATCGAGGAAGAGCTGTTCGCCCGTTTGTTTCCTGGATTGGAGGCAATGCCGAACACGTCTTTACTGGCAGATTCTCTGCAGGACATGACGACGCACGGAGAAGTTTTCAAGATGAAGCTACTCATGTACCTCATCTCAGCTGTTTTCGCGCCGACCACTTCTCTTCGCCCAAGCAACAAATGTTTCCCCATCCTGGTGAATGATCCATGCTTGCTACTGCCAGTGTTTTTGTTGCGTTTCTTCCGTTTTGATTTCTGACGCGGCAAACTTTTTTGCCCTGAAATTTTGCGTGGTGCAGGCGAATCTGAAAAACGTGAAGAGTATGAACTGGTGTAAGTCTATTGCCGACTTTCTCCACGATGCTTTCAAAAACAAGATGTACCAGAAGGGTTGTCGTCTGCACTTAATGGTATTTATTTTCACCAGATCTCTGTGTGAACTCTTTGTTTATAACGTACTTTTATTTCATGCATGACAATCTGGTCATAACAAGATGGCAACTGCCATAGTGATAATGTGGCAACTGCCATAATGACAACGTGGCAACTGTCATACTGACAATGTGGCAACTACCTTCATATTAGCATGGCAACTGCTATCACAGTAGGATGACAACTGCCATCACACTTTGATGGCAACTAACACATACATATTATCGTTGGATCATACATTATCCTGCTCTTTTTTTTCTGAACTACAAATTAACCACGATGGCAACTGATATTTTCTTATCTTTGCAAAATTGTTTTAAATCAGCTCATGTATGTCGACTCTCTTGATCTGTCCACCGTGGATTTCACCGGGATAGGAGGCCCGCCGCCTACTCACAAGTTTGCTGTTTCTGCGTGGATCATCAGCGCTATCAAGGCTGTGCTTGCCACAGACAGGGCAACTGATGGCACATATGGAAAACTACAGGTTAGTTTTTGTTTATGTCTTTTTCACACGGCATGCTTACAAATTTGACATGACGCAACCGTTCGTGGTTTATAAGGCATGCTTACATTTTCTTTTTTTGTTTTTTCATAGCTGATGGCCAAGCATGCTATAGACTACAGCGTGTTTGGGGGGCCTCAAAAATTTGAAAAGTGGATGGACGTGCACTCAGCTCCGTCTTGCCCTTCTGAGGTAATCAAAATGTCCACATCTACGGTTTGCCGTGGATTACATGTTGATGTCGCGGAAGCGAATGCAGTATGGGTGTTGTTTTGTTGATGCTTCTTGTTTTCGTGCACAGGCGAGGGCACCAGTGGAGCATCTAATTGGGCAGTTTGCATCCGGAATGACCGGCCTGCTCGGGAAGTTGGTTGAGGGGTGGACGTCCCTCAGTGCCTCTGACAGCGACGCGGTTGCGAGGCAGTTCACTTCATTTGTCCCAGAACGTACACATCGGCCAACCGGTTGCCGTGGCCGGTATGACTACAACAGCTCCCAAGAGCCCGGTGACACACAGGATGATGTAGATGGAGACGCTGTCCTCAGCAAGGACGACGATGATGACACCGATGACGATGAACACGCTGAAGTTCGCACATGCGGCAACAAGGGCAAGGATGCAACAGGTGCCCACCCACCGGAGAAAGTGAAAGAACATACGGCTGTGAGAGGCGAGGGGGTTTTGCCATCAAGGAGGGGGAGGGCTCCAGAGGATGTTGGGCAGGGTTCTGCTGGCAAGAGGTCTAGGATCGACCCCGTAGCTGTCAGGAAGAGGTTCGACTCTCAATTTTAGTTTTCTGCTGTGTATCTTTTCTTTGGAACAATCTCATCCATTTCTTTTGCACTTGTTTTTTGTCAAGCGCGGCAATTAGTTTGTTGTCTGACAAGTGCCACCTTCTTTTTTCCTTCCATCTGTTGCGTGCAGTGAGCCGACCGCTGGTGGACGAGCAGCTACGAAGAAATAGGCGCCAACGCCAACCCGTGTTTCTGCTCGCTTGAACAAAGGTGCCCCCATTGCCGGTGACATCCCTTCCACCAGGTCTTCTGCTCGTACGACGACGACCAACACCGGGGATCATGTCGTGTTGCCTGACCTGAGGAAGGTAGTCAAGAAGTAGGTTTCTCCATGTGCTTTTCATTTGAGATAGCGGTTTTTTTCTTGATTTTTCAATGCAACTGGTCTGCTTTGTCACATGTTCTTCTGTTATCATCCCCCACGAGGCAACTGCTGTTTTTACAAATGATTTCTTCCTTCATTTCTTAAATGTATGGCAACTCCTATTATCTTTACATGGCAACTGGCATCTAGGCCAAATGGCAACTATTTCTGTACCTAATGGCAACTGTCATCTTTTTTTTACCATTTTCTTCTGAGAGTTCATCCCCCACCTAATTTTGAAATTGCATTCCTCACAGATCAGACATTTTCTATCATTCCTTTCAATTTTCCTAACTTTGATAACTGCTGCTGTATGGCAACTGCTAACTATGGCACATGGCAACTCATGACCCCCTTACATGGCAACTACCAGCTTTTTCCACTTGTTTTTAGTTTTTTAATGCTTCTATCATTGCAAACATATTTTTTTGTCCATTTTTTTCATACCATTTTTCACGTGCTTTTTTTCCTTTCCAGGGTGAAGAAGACTACTACGCGCG